AGACGTTCTTGACAAAACTGTCGTTAAAATTGGCATCGACTGTTTTCAGTAGGCCACCCTGTATCCAATCTTACAAACCATAAGATTACCATTTTCAAACTGGCAATTAACTTCAGAGGATTTGAAATCTTTCAAATCTTCTTTACATGTACAAATGTCCACAATTGCCATAGTCAAACAGGAAGAACCGTGGGTCGTTTTTCTGCTTCAGAATCTTTGACCATTTTTAAGTCAGTTGCATATAAATAGTAGAGAGCAAAAATGGCATTAACCAATTTTTAAGTTGGTTTCATACATTGTAAATAATATATGGGATGTAAAACGAAAGTGCGCATTTAGCGTGTAAATCGTACATTTCCTGGAGTGGCATGTTATTTCCAGTGAAGTGATAAGCCATCCACGTAATCACCATTCACATGACTATATAATTACAATCTGGACAATTGTCCATATGCCGGTTCAAAGACCCTCGATGACACTCTGTCACATCGGGGCGTACTTGAATTAGTAATACCATGGCGTTGATGAACTAAATGATGGATAGTATGACCTTGTATTGTTATTTATATATCGATTTTGCTAAGTACATAAATTATCTTACTATTATTCATCATAGAACATTCATCAATTATCTTTGATAAGCCCTTGCCTGCGATTAAATTAAATTAGCTCTAGGGACATTTTTTAAATTTATCCTAGTGTCTGCACAAAAATGAAGCTAATAAAAGAATAAAAGTTCCACAGATTTGAATGAGCTTTATAGCAAATGAAATTCCATCTGCGCGCTGTTTACTGGTAACACAATATTTAAAGTATAAGTATTTGAGCACTAATTTTTTAGCAAAAACGTTACAAAGTGCCCGATTTATATAGTCTTATCGTGCTATATCCTCAAAACATGAAACAACCTGATCATAGACTTTGTCAATGGAACCTCATGTCTCAACACATAATCTGAACTCTGCTGCTGCTACATGCTGCACGCATGGCGATTTCTAAAATGAAAAACCGCACAAACGTTTTACTTATTCGAGTATAATCATTAAAACAAGGAATTTTCTAAAAACAATTTTAGTTAAAGATAGTTTTCACCACTGCAACTCGATCGAAGAGAAGTAAGACTCCTTTCAATGAAATTTTGTTTTGCGAAAAATTGTTAAAACTAATCGTATAATTTTATTGAGGTTACAACGTCAACGAAGACAGTCCTGCAAGTAAAAGGCTTGAACGACCTCTCATTTCGATCACGATATGTTAGAAAATCGACAAAAGATGGCAATTATTTTTCACCAGGCCATGAAACGCGAGTGTCCCTCCAATCAAAAGTGGGCTTATAATAAGGGCTGTCTGTAATAAAAACGGACAATAACGCCATTTTTGTAAGAAAGTTCGAGGTGGGCTGGATTTTCATTGCAAATATATCGACCTTAACGGATTAATGTTATTCTTAACATCAGAAAAGTTATAAAAGGAGATGTGTTTTCAATATAATAATCTGAAGCAACAACCAATTTTTTGATCATAATTAATAATGAACAGCTGGATATATGGGAAATTGAATCTGTTACGTAAAGCAAAAAAAATTTTGTACTCGGTGGATCAACGTGTTTTGTCTTGCATTTAAGGGATTAAAGTGTCAGTTTTTTCTCGCTGGAATTGAAAAGCAATGAAGGGCTAAAAGTGACAGTAGGTAGTAGGTAGATAATGAAATATAGACCACAATTTAATAATTAATGGTTACCTTCAAATGTGCGTTCTGGTTCGTGTACCATGTTTTATAGTCGTTATATCGATTTCGATAGGAATGTATTCTTGAATATATGGGAGGTAGTAATTAATTGCCTCATAGCTTTGTTTATAACAAAGCTCATAGTTTCGTCTTCATCGTTTCAAGTATACATTTTTGGCACAGATGTTTTGTAGAAGAATTTACAGTATTGTAACAATTGTAGCATTTACGACACTACAATCAAACAAAATTTGAAATTTGGACATAACATTGAAACTTGAAATAGCGTATAGGTACAGTTTGCTTGATTTTAACTGTCACAGCGGAAAAGAAATTTGCAAAATTTTATTACATATTCTGAAACTATGTGATATATCGTTAGAAACAGAATTTTATACAGTTTCAGAATATGTAGATTTTATAAAATTTGAATTATTTTCTGCACCTAATATTTTGATTTTCAATTGTCTTTTTGGTCATAACAGAATACAAAAATAAATGTAGAACAATTTTTCTTCTATAAAATTTTGTCATATCTCTAATACGCTGTGACAGCTCAAATCAAACAGACTGTATATCACAGGCCCAAAAAGCGTCTCAATCCCAACTTCGTTTTGGGCAATAACCTGCACTTTAGTCCCTTGGCAGAAAGAGTACCCTCATCAAAAAAGCTCTTGCAGTTTTCTTCAAACGTCAGTAGAAACAGGTCATTTCATGACATAAAAGTTTGACATTTTAGACGTCATGTCCGTTGGCATTGGCAGCGTATAAAAGAGTCCTGGTTGCCATAGACAAACTGCCAATGGCCACGAGGACTTTTAGAGAGTGAGAATCTTCTCTGAAAGGAACAAGTAAGTACAACTTGCAAGCAAGACAAAATTACAGAGGGAGGGATAAAATTAAGTGGAGAAAGGTATATAGCGTGACCTCTGCAAAATAAAGAACTAAAGTAATAGCAACTCTACCATAGAACTAACTTACATCTAAACTAAACGGAATTACAGAGGAAATACATAGATGGCGTAAGAATATTGAAATGAGAGTAAGATGCGAAAAAAATGTTACTTAAATGGAATTTAAATAAACAAACACGTTACAGAACAATGTAATTATGAAGAATTCACTCTATTTACACTTGTAGGGCATTTTTAGAAGGTATATAGGATTGTTGATTAGCTATAATTGATGTATATACCTATTTGAGCTCTTATAATACGCATTCGAAAACGTTTCTGAACGATCCATTAGTAACAATTTATGACGAACAGTTTTACATATAAAATTGAGAATGTAGCGACACATTATTTGCCTTTACAATTAGATTCACAGGCGGGAATAAATTTACGTATGTAGTTGAATTACAAAGCCTTGAAGTCTTTCCTTTTGAACGACAAAATCGTCTTTCTAGCAAAACATTTTTCTTTTGTGTCAAGTGATCAGTAGGTAAGTAAATTTTTTTTGTCTGTCAATAATCCATTCATAGAAAGAAAATTATCGAACCTTTCCTGTATTGTTCAATAGTTTATTTGTTTTTACCGAACTCATCAAATTTGCTTGCATGAAAATGTCGAATATTGGTTGCTAAATTCTCGAAGTAAAATTTGACATCGTTGAAAATTTTGTTGTTGAAGATCTAAGAATTGTTGGAAGTGATTAGCAACCATCTCGAACGTCTTAAATTACATTGAAGTATGCCATTCGGAGACTTTTAGTAAAATAGCTGGTCTCGTTTTGTACCGCACATACTTATGCGACGATCACTCATTTTTGATCGCTATGTTTTTAAAAATCCAATAATAATGCTTTTAAACATTTTTAGTTAAGATATTATATCATAGATACTTAATACTCGAGCTGTTCTATTCTTGTGAATGGTTAACTAGAAGCTTATTGTCAGACTAATACACTGAACCACCACATCTTTTCCATACACAAACCGATAAAATCTATTCAAACTATAACAAACAGCTAAGTACTCTAAGAGTACAGCTGAGATTTTTCGATTTTTCATATTCATCATATTTTTAGGATCTTTTTAAACTTCATCGCGTTCTTGCAATTCCTCAGGATTTCTTCAAATTTTTTTGATCCACCAGTATTTTACGATTCTTTGGTTCCATCCATTTTTTCATATCGTTCCATTTGTTCAAATCCTCAATTTTTGTTGTATTGTATATCAAAGTGTCGGAATAGTTTGGATGCTTGGTGTCTTTAAGAGGCGGAGGTAGCTTACTGGTGGCCTTCATTTCCGTTTTTCTTCCGACTGAATGAAGGTACTTATACTCTGCGTTCTAGATAAGGATGTATATCATGGGGATCTCCGAAATCATAGAAGATACGACAATGGTCAAATTAGAAAAAAGTTGTGCAATTAAATTAATGTTGTGAAGAAAACAAAATTCCGATTACTTTATGCCAGGCAAACCGATATTTGCCAATTTCCTTTTTATTTTTTTCATTTATTTCAACTGATATAAAAAATAAAAATAACTTCTCATTGCCACGATTTGAGCTTTACAAAACACCGTTGAGAGATTTTCAATACAACGTTTCGTTCCTTAGAAACCATCATCAAATTTATTTTTTTATACGGCCCGCAAAAAAAATACATACTGTATTGAGCAGCATTTTTTATTACGAATACAACGATGTACAGCACCAAAAAAAAGAAAAGTTGGAAACGCGGGTGGTTTCAACAGGTTGGTGCCCCCCCGAAAATGGAACGTATGATCGAATATCTTTGCGTGAGTAATCTTTTGTCTAGTTAATGCTCCCATAAGTCTTAAATTTAATTTTTTATAAAAATTGATAAAAAATATAAAAGTAAACCTAAGATTAAAGTTAAATTAATTTGGAAATTGGAATAAAACTCCTGTTAGGATATTTAGGAGTACGTCTAGAACGGAGCGTAAATTTACAACTAATGATCACAATTGCTCTTGAACATCACTTTACAGTCAAAGATTCAAATTCTTTAACCTACAGGGGTCTGATTCGTAATCTTCAAATTGTTTTACTTCTTCCAAGATTGTTCGGTCAACATCGATAATGCAAAAAACAGTTCCACCTTCAATATAGGCAGGAATAATTGCGTACATTCTTTGGTAGTACAGACAAAATGCGTCAAAAATTATCGTTGCAGAAAAGGAAAGGAAAATTACAACAAAGCTATTGAAGTATGATTCACACGCAACGTATGACTTATACTAAAATGCAACAAACATTCCGTGAATACTCATTGATAAGTGATGAAACGTTGGATATGATAGTACTTTTTCTTCTGGCGATTGCACAAATTGATAAAGGTGCAGTAAAACTGACGATAACATCTCGAATATAAGCCTGAGAAACAGGAAGGCTTGAACCTGTACTAACCCCGCATGCAACATGAAACTGATCATTGTGTCACTGTTGGCCATTCAAGTAAGTCCTACCGTTTTTACTGCGAACTAATCTTTTTTTCCATTTTAAGGTCGTTTCCTGCAGATGGCTACTACCCTGCAGAAGGGCAGAAGTCCAGCGCATTTTGAAAGAGGCCGTGGAAGATGTTGTAAGGAGTTTCGACTTACATAGGATAAATGAGTTGAATCGTACGTGTAGCAGTGGTATTGTAGCCCAACTGCAAGATGTACAGGAAGCTGTTGAACATACGAGTCGTAATGGCGACGTCGATGAGTGTATTCTACCATTAGTTGCGCGCGTTGAGGAAGCACTCAATTTGCATGGAGTTAATATAGCAAGCAGGTGCCAAGCTGGCAATATCAAGTCCATTTTTAGAGATGCAGTCTCGCACACTCAGAGGTGCATAAACAGACCTTTGGCTTCGTGCGAATACATAAGGAAGTGCGTCGCTGCTGATAATGGCGAGAGGAAGAAGCATATTGTACGGATTGTTAAGGAATATACGGGATGTGTCTTGGGCGAATGCAGAGCAATTCAAAGAGATATTCAGCGTATCGTTTGGGAAATTCGAGCCTGTGCTCTTGAGACTACTTCGGACGCCTCCACGCCTTCTAGTTGGGATGACACAGGAGTCCCGTATGAGCCAAATTCCTCTAACTCCACGTCGGATGATTTGGAGGAGACAGAAGTTACGTCTGATGAGGATGACACACCTTCTACGTAGGTACACTTAAATCGCAGCTATGAATCAGACTATAAAATGTATATTATCAGCAGACAATAAAACCTCATACAATTACTATAAACATAGGGTTATATTTTATGTCAGGAATGGTAAAACACTAAATCTCCCCACGTATCCAAAATTTAATGACAAATTAAAGTTGACAGGTAGTTTTTGATGAAAAACACGACATGTTTCGAAACGAACCTCGTTCCATAAAACATAAAATTTTTTATCATTACATGAGTGTTAGCTAAAAAACATTAAAATTAGAACTTAACTCAATCATGAGTGAAACTTACCAAGAGGAAAAAAGTGATGTAAAAAATTAATTAAGTTTAAAGATGACACATTTAAATTTCAAACATTTTTCAGGTTGTTGTGTCTGAAGGACAACAAACAATCCTTTTTATAACATAATTAAATTAAAAGGGAGGCCCCAAAGCGGACCACAGCTCAACAGGAAGAAACGTCTAACAACGTGGTTAGACGTTTCTTCCTGTTAAGCTGTGGTTACATAGACTCGAGTTAAACGACTACAAAAATTTCTTCTATTTATGGCGCGTAGGTATGAAGTGAACCCCTCATTTATAACATTTTGCAAATGTAGAGTCCTGGAGGCCCGTATAAATACTTTTTGGTTCTACAGTTATTGATAAACCTTAGAAATAGTTCCGACATAAGTAGGCAATAAAAAATGAATTTTGAAGAAATGGGGAGGAGGGGGGGGGCTTCACACAGTCACGTATTGCGCCAAATGTGAATTTTTTAGAATTCTAAAGTTCCTAAGTCATTAAAATAGGGTTAATCGGTAATAAGTCGAATCTGCTAAAGACATCAACCGAATATGTAGGTATCTAAAATATTTATTGAGTTTCTTTTGCTTGCACTGCTGTCAAGTTTGTGTGTAAAGTGGATTGCATAACTGTCGGGCATATCAATGCATGCACTACTTGTAATTTAAAAATTGAACCATTGAATAAGTAATTATAGTTAATTCAATGATTGAACAAAAGAAATTTGTATCTTTAAGTTAAAATTTATGCACTGTTTATTATTTCCATCCGTATGTCTCTCTGTTTTATTTTAGTATTTTAAAGAGAGTAGTGTTGCTCTAAACTTTTGGTAGTGGACACCTCAAATAGGCATTGCAAAGAATTATGTGAACTTTATACACAAATATACCCCACCAAATTTGCAATTCTTACCTAACGAAGGCGAATATAATGGCTTTACGCCGCCGTTAGAAATACCAGGAAACGTCATTCACGTATAACTCACGCCACATCAACTAGCGGTAGAAAGTGCATGAAACTTACTACAAAGAACTTACCCTTCGTAACTTTTTCCAAAAACGTAATTTGTTGTCGAGCCGAAACGGAGAATGATAGGAGCGTCGCGGCGCACCCCGCCGTGGCGTGCAGGGTGGGCGTATGTACTACAAAGACTACAGTTAAAAATCCTGAAATGCTATATACTTCGATAATCATTACTAATTAAAGATGCAAACGCCGTTAGTACTTTAAAATATTCTTTTCAATTAAGATTTTTCAATGACCAAGATGAAGCTCAGCGTTGTCACAGATATTTTCTTTACGTATATCTGTGGCGTTGTACAACCTTCATCTGGAGTGGTTGATCAGTAGCGCTACGACTTTCTGAAACTATTGAATGGTGTGGTGTAATGTTGTCGAAAACAGCATATGTCTTATTCATTACGATTACACTGAACACGATTTGCAAGAATCATCGGGACAATTATTGGAAAAGATTGTTTTAGGATTAAACTATGTATAAAAAAATTGGGAACGCTCTTGTACTCCCCCAGTTTGAAAGACAAAGCATCCCTTTTTTTACTTGTTTATTTAATTAATCAATTACTATGAAACCTACGGTGATCGGGTTTGTCATATGGTTTTGTTATCAAAAGAAGTTACTAAATACGGATTTTCAAAAAAATCTGATGAATTTCACTTGGTAATAGCAAACTGTTAATTTTAGAGATCAATTTTCCACATTTTTCCATAAGAAACAATAACAATTGAAAATAAGCCTTCCGTACCAACTGTATCTTATAGAAAATTTTATTTTAAACAAGTTCATGTCTATTCATTCTTTCCCTCAGAGCAATAGTTAACGAGATATTCGAAGTCAAATGCGAAACAACACGACATTTTCTCATTTTTTCTTCGTTTTTTGTTAATAACAATATGTTCCGGGAGTTTCCGGCCATGGGGGACTATGATTTTCCGATTCAGCGGATTTTTTTTACATAAGATACACTTGGTTTCGTTGAGTGAAATTACAACATCCAGTTTATACTACTTTTAAAGCTAATTTGACTGGACTATACGTAGGTATGTATATCTATACATTTTGTGCTACAACATAAAACATTTATACAAAATAAAAAGAAATTTCAAGGATTCTGAAACTAGTTCAACTATTGATAATAGTATTGTTTAGTATGATGTTATTGAATGTTATATTTTTTTAAATGAGCATCTCATTTTAGCTTAAAAAATCATAATTACTACTATCACAGCTGTAAACTATTACATCTGTGCTATTAAGTGCAAGGCGAATTAAACATTACCCAAAAATTGTTTTGCGATTTTGTTCTTTACGCTGAAAACGATTTTAATTTTGAAATAATTTAAAAAGAGAATGGCAAAATGTAATGCTTCCTAAATTAATTGAATTTCATAAAAAAATGTATTCTTCCTGAATTACGTGGCGGCCTCATGCTGGAAAAATGAATTAAAATGCAATTGATGTTGATCATTATTTTTTGACATCGTAACCCACTACATTACATTGATTTTCTCATTTAAGCTTAATTTTATCGAGATGTTTTATGAACATGACATCACGGCATAATAATTATTAACGCACTAATCGAATTCACTTATGTACTTTGTTGTCATTAATACAACAAATGGTAAATAGTCTTTAAACGTATTAGGACAACTCACAGAACCTAGGGATTAGGGATACTTTAATTACCTACATATTTAGTATGTACCAAACTTGATCCAGGGACTATCAGGGAGTGAGAATCTAAAGACTTTTTGAATTATTAATCCAATTTAGAGAATTTCCTTTCATGTTTGAAGCAAAAGGCAACAATGATTAAAAAATTTGCGGAAAAAAGGAGTAAAAGCACTATCGTCCAAATTACAAACAGTTTTTAAACAAAAATTCAATTCCTAACAGAACAAACTTGCATACTTCAAACCGTTTATGTTCAGCCATAGTGTAATAATAGAACTTACTATACACTATGGTTCAGCGTACAAACCACAAAATTAACACTTGTACAAAATTCTTAAGGTTGGCCGTTCCGGAAAGAATTGATTTGGTCAATAAATCGAATTTATGTGTAAATTGTTTAAGTCGTAGGCCTCAGTTAAATGGTTGCTATTTCGGTCATTGCAAAAAATGCACGGTGAAGTATTTTAGACGTTCATCAGAAGCAAAATCTACTACACATGCGCAACAGTCTTCGGTTACTTTCAAATGTGTGCTTTCATCAACAGATTGGAACTAATAGATACAAATGAAATTGTCACGACTGCAAAGCACTTTTAGACCCAGTCTAACTTCATTAATTCAGATTTTAGTCAAAGACTTGGATTACCACTTAACCCCATTAATATTACAATTTCAGGGGCTTTTAAGGTGGAATCCAGAATTCATTCCATTTGTAAAACTCAAAATTGCTCAAAAAATACTTAATTTACCTCTTACCTCTTGACCATAGTTGTTACGGAAATATGTGATGTTGTTCCTGAATATCCTGTAGATCTACGGTCTCTTTCAATGCCTACATGTCATAAATTGGCAGATCCTCAATTTCATAATACAAACCAGTTGATATAGTGATAGGTTCGAATTTATTTTGGGAATCATTATGTATAGATCAAATCCGTCTCAAACCTTCAGGTCCGTTTCTTCATAAGACTATGTATGGATGGATAGTGGGTGAACCACTTATAAAAAGTGCTTCTTCGAATAGTTGAAACTCTTCTCAAATTCATATACAAAATTTAACTATACAAAGTCAGCTTTCTCGCGTCTGTGAAATAGAGGAGTGTGCTGATTTAGTTTATTCTCCAGAGGCCACATGATGGTGTATTAAAGGCACAAAACGCATAATTCTCTCCAGCATTATTTTCGATATATTTAATTTTATTGTTACATTTTATTTTTATTTTTTGTTGTTGAAAACGAATAAACATTATTATTATTTCACAAATATTTGGTTTAATAGTATCATTTAATGGCATTTTTCATTGGACAGACTACAATTGTGCCAGGTGGGATAAACATGACATCATCTTCACTAAAACCATATGTTGCTAACAGAATCTCTGAAGTTAGGAGCAAAACCGTACCAGAAAATTGGCCTCATGTGAATTCGACACCAAACCCTGCAGATCTATTGTCGCGTGGTTAATATAAGTTACATAGGCTATTTAATAATGGAGAACTTTCAGAGGCACTGAATAATCTTCGAAAAATGTTGCATGATCACTAAAGTATACATACTTTACAGAGCGTGTAGTAATTTCCAAGGTAATTTCTCATATACAGACGTTCAGTGTACTGTACAGTACCAAAATATTGCGATTCTTGTTAAATTTTAGAGACTCGTTTTCTCTATTTACAACACCATCAGAAAGCTGAGAAAAAATCATAATTTTTCGGTTTTATTGGCCATAATTTTGTTATTTGTAGAGCTACAAGAAACTTTAAAAGGGAAAATTAATATGCATAAAATTTTGCACAACTTTACCCATTTGTACTGTTACGGTTTACGAGATCCCCATGGTGAAAATGAAAAAAAGCACACCCTGTATAAGAATGTTTTTTTTATTTCTGTAAGACAAACATTTTGGGGACAAATTTGCGCCCCCTAAAATCTGCTGCCCTAGGCTCCAGCATACTCAGCCTGCTGGTTAATCCGCCACTGACAAAAGGGTAGTATTAATTATTGTCTTTCGCCTTTTCTATATGTGTTGGTGGTAGACTCAAACTTTCTCCGTGGTCATACGGAAAACCACACCGTATGTTGCTTTCTGGATCTCGCTTCTTCACGATGTATCAGAAATACATTCAATTTCAGGCCGAAGCATTGCTACATAATTGCATTACATGTTTTAAGGCAAAACCTTCCTTTGAAACTCTGTGATTGGAAATCTGCCAAACGAACGGTTTCTCAATTTTCTACTTCGTATCAAAATTACAAAATATATCCTTGCGTCTTAAGCTAGGTTAATACCTAAGCAATCAAAGATTAAAGAGGTGTATGTCATTCGAGTTTTAAATAAAGGGCCAATCGCGGATAAATTAACTTGTCACTTTGGATGCAAATATTGCGTGTTATAACAATTTCCACAGCCGAATTTCATGCATTTGTAACGGAAAAGTTATATAACTTGCAAATCATATCTACTTTCTATCAAAATATACTTCCTTCAATCTTGGTGGTGAATTACTTGCCTTTCCTATTATATCGAATGTCATAAAACCCATATAAGGTACACAATAAACTGCAAAGAACTTATTTGCAGCAAAATTACAACCTAAGTATGCGTAGACCGGAACGTCAGAGAGGTTACACTGAAAATTAGAATGCAGAGTGCAGGAAGAAAAAAAATCCCGCAAATCGGGCTTGAGCTTCATGAGATATGTGTACATCAAAATCTGCATTACAAAATGACATTTGCATTACTTTGTCGCCAGAAGTCAATTTTACAAAGAAAATGATTTAGATGAATGTTGCTAGCGAGTCTTGTGGGTAAGCTCTCCATTATTTCTGAGTTATTATAATCGTTTACGAATTAATTTAAGTGGTAAAAAAGTTGATTAGGTCATCAGTTTATAATGATATTCGATTCATTGATGACTGGATCAAGATAATGTCTTTAATCCGTTTTCAATTAAACACGAGAGCCCCCATCCTGCAAAATGCATAATAAAACAGTACCAAATTCTTCTTAAAAGTGTTCTAGTAAGCACCAGGCTATACAATAAAGAACCCGGCCAACGTAAAATTAAGATTTATTAAATTATGATGAAAACCAAAAAAGTTATTTCAAAAGACCCTTCATTTTATGATTCGGTTTCACGTTTAGCAACACTGTATCAATTTCTCCAAGGCATCTGTAAGAAAATTAAGATTCTCTAAAAATTAGAGGGCATCTAGCATACCTACATTTAAAGCTATTTATGTGAAAAAATGTAGGACAATTTCCAATAATGTAGTTCAAAATTGGAGAACGGACAGATGAACGATTAATAAAGGAGTAGTTATTTTTCCTAAATTTGATTTGTAAGTGACTGCTTTGAAATTAAACAGCA